AGTTTTGCCTACCTATATAGTTAGATAGTGTAACATCATTTTACAATTAATATAAATTCGAATTCTTCATGTTAAGATCAAAGATCTGACGAACAAGTTGATGACAAAAAAGGAAGACAAAGTTCTCTATCTGAAGTTGTTGAGATCAGGATTTGCTCAAGGAACTGCTCTCATTGATGCATTTTTACAGTTTAGTTTTCATATGAAATATTTTATGGCTTTTTTTAGTAGTTCATTCAATAAATATTTAATTTCATGTGCTTACTTTTAATTTTAAATTGATATTACGTATCAGTTGCTGATTATTGCTGAAAATATGTTCTAGCTACATCTATGGAAACATGCTTATATTTATCTATAGAAACATGTTTGTTTTTATAGCAGGCTTAGTATTAAGTTCGCACATACATCTCATATTTTAATTTGTTCTATTTCTTCTGAAAGTTATTATTTTGGTTCCTTTAAGTTTGCTGTGCAATTGCTAAACATTGAATTAGTTGTTGGTTTTTAGTCTGCAGTTTGTTTGTTCGTTTGTATATTTCTAATTTCTTAAATTTTAACAATTTCTCAAACAGGGTTGACAATGCCATGCCATGTTTGATTAGTTTGTTGACAGGCTCTGATGCAGAGGTTCAACTAATGGCTACCTGGTGTCTTACAAATATATCTGCAGGTCAGTTGAATTTCTACATTGCGGTGTGTGTTTGGAACTGTATTGTAAAAATTAAGTAAGAGTATAAACTCAGTTTGATGTGGGCAGTTGAATGACCTGGTGAGATGAATTGTTAAAGATTTTTGTTAAGAGAGCAACATATGATTTATGGATGACAACTCTTGCTTGTAATAATAAATATTTATAATAATTCAGTAATATTTGATGCAATTTTTGAAAGCACTTGAAAATTTGTTTTTCTATTTTTGTTAGCTACACTGCCATCTATCATTATTCTTCTTTTTGTTATTTCAATTTGTAAGGTTATTATGTTACATTGTTACTATTATTATCATTTGCATTACCATTACCATTGAAGATGATGTATGTTTATTCGTACTTCTTACTATGATAACCCTAAAATCATGCAGGGACGGAACAGCATGCCATGACAGTCGCCAGACACGCAAGCTCCTACCTTATAACCTACCTGTCGTCGCCATCAGCTCCTCTTCAGGTCACATGTGTTTCAATAATAATTATAATATTAATGGTAACAATGGTGATGTCATTTGTGCAGGACTCTAAGCATAACGCCTTAGTATTTTAGTTACAATTATGTCCAGAGTTTAGATATTTGTTATGAGTTTTGATATTTGTGTAAATAATGACAGCATACAAGAGGATATGCGTTTTATTAACGAAAAAAATGAATTAGTTATTTTATTGTAAACCTTAGTTAATTTGACACTATTTCAATTATATAGTGCGTTAATAATGTTTTCATGATTTATTTGTTTAATTTGGCATTTGAATCTGCAATAATTAAATGAATACAATGTTCTTGGTTGTCAGTGTTGCATATATTGTAGATATATATTGTGCAATTTTTATGTCTAAATGTTATAACACGAAGAATGACAAAATGATGAATACCGTCGTTTATTTGAACAGGACCAGTGTGCTTGGACGCTGGGTAACTTGGCCGGTGAGGGTGAGGAAGAGAGAAAGTTGTTGATGCAACAAGGGGTGGTAGCTGCTCTTGTGCCACTTCTCAAGGTCCTCATTACTTTTATCTTTCTTCATTTGTTTCAGATTTAAATTTGATGTTCATGCGGATTGTTATATTTATTTGATTTATTAAATGCTAAATATTATCACTTTATTATATTTTATCTGTTTCAAAGAAATAATGTCTCTTGCTTTTATGAACTGGTGTAGTTATTTACATGATTAAAAATTTGTTATGTGTCTTCAACTTCAACATAAGATTCAAGAATTATCTTTTGGACCACATTGAATTTTACAACCTGTAAACAATTTATGGCTGAATATTTTATTTCATCATTCAACAGTCAGCCTGCAGCAATGTGGTTAAGTCAGCAGCGTTTGCATTGTCCAACCTGGCAAGAAGTAGTGAGGCCAAACAGTCAGTTCATAAAATCATACAAACTTATGAACCTTTCTAAATAGAACTGTCGTTTTATTGTTTATATTTTTTTAGACAACTTTTCATCAATTATAAGTTGTAAATGAGGTATTGGCAAATGTGGATGACGTCATTCATTTTCATTTCAGGAAAATGGTTGAAATGAATGTTGTGGATGCATTAGTGCACTTGCTGGAATTAAAGAATGGTGCTGAAGATGTAATTACTGAATCTTTGTGGGTGCTCACATATCTGACTGCTTGGTATGCTTTTTTTTCTTTGTTGGTTGTTGTACACGTTTGTGTGCTTGTGTGTGTGTGTGTGTTGTTGATGTTGCCAGTATTTGTTGTGGCATTGTTTTTTATATTTCTTTTTGTTAGTTGTTTTATTTTTAGTTGTTTTTTTTTTTTTTTAGTTGTGGTCCTGGTTATGACATTAAACTGACCCTCACTGCCTTGTGAGTGATGTTGGATCATCAAAGGCTAGGCCCACCGCTTATAACTGTGGTTGCGTAAGGAAGGGCGTCCTGCGTTAAAATTAGCCAATAAAATATTTATGATGACATTCGGTTTCATCATAGGTAGCCAAACGGCAACCCCCGATCTCGGGGAAAATGTCGTCTAAACGTGTGTTGTTGTTTTATTTTTAGTTGTGTTTTTTAGTTTTTGCTATCATTTGTTTGATGAATATAAAGACTGCTGCGTGATTTCAAGATCAACATTCTTAGGTGATTGAGAATTTGTCGTTTGAGGAATGTCTATTTGCATCAGTCAACAATGCATTTTATATTTTTCAATAAAAGCGCGTATTTTTTAAAACTTTACATTTATTTCATTGTTGATGACAGTCCAGAATATGCAAAGACATTATCAGATGCAGGCGTACTCAAGAAAGTTCTCAACCTTCTGTATGAGGCATCTAAACACGAGGAACCGAACGTTCTGGTACTTTAATCGTTTGTTTGTCTTATTTGACAAATTTTATTAATTGACTATAAAATTTATAAAGCAATATTTGATCATGTGTTCCTTTGGCGTAAGATTATTTTTGTTTCATTTTACTATGGTAGTTCAGGATGATTTGTTGGGCTTTGTTAATAAAACTCCGAGTGCTGATACTAATGTTAACTTCAAATTAAAATCATGTTTTATTCCATCTCCAAATTTACATAAAATTTTGCAATGCTGGCTAACCGTTTTCGTCATTTTGCATTTTATTTTTGGCATCAATTTGCCAAATTTGAACAAATTTTTAATTTGAAAACTGCTAGTCCAGTAGGTTAACATTATTTCATTTATTCCTGCTTAAACACAAAACTTCACTTGAACAGTTAGTGACACCGTTGTTGAGATGTCTCGGCAACATGATGTGTGACAGTGAGGTGATGTCAACACAAGATAATCAGGAACTCGTTAGTGATGCACGTTTGTATGAGAGCATCGACAAGTTTATGCATCACTCAGTGCTTCATCTGCAGAAGGAAGGCCTTTGGGTTCTCTCCAATCTGGCTGGTTGGTCTGCCCTTTTGATGTTATTTTGTCATTGATATGCCATTTTTGTCGTGTTGTTTATTTGTAGGTGATTTCGTGGTTTTGTAATGCAAATGTGATTTGCAGTGTGTTCAGGCTGTTGAGTTTTTTAGTGGTGTTTTATTATCAATTTAATTTTTTGAAATTTATGATGAGTTGAACAACATTTATCACATTAGTTTACGAACCACTGTGTCAGAAATTGATCAAGTGCAATTTACTGCCAACAGTTATCAGTTTGTTGAACTCTGCGTACAACATCAGATATGAAGTTGTATTTATTTTCTTTCCGTTTATTTTTAATCTCGCTAACATCTGATTAATTTAACAGTTTTCATACCTTTGTATTGTAAATTTAAATTATTTTGGTGTTCTTGTTTATGTTTTATCATTTCAATTGTTCAACGTTAAATGCATTGCAGGCGGCATATTGCTTGTGCAACATAGCTCAGCATGGAGACGACATATGCAGGGAAATATTTAAACAACATGCCATACCTAACATAGTACCCACTTTGAAGTCACATGACCTTGAACTGGTCTCAATGTCCCTCTCCCTCATCCAGATGATCATGCAGGCCTCTCAAGAAATGGTATATTTGCATACATTTCTATTGAAATAATTGTTAAAGTACATAAAGTCATAAACATATAAAACGATTTCATTAAACTAAATTTCCTGCTTAATAAATTGCGTTAATGACAAAAGCATGAAAAATATAATGTTTGTTTGAAATACAGGCAGTAAAAGAATTCGAAGAACACGGTGGCTTAAATGGCTTAGAACTGCTTGAGTACAATGACAATCTAACTATCAGCCAAAAGACTAATCATATATTGGACAATTTCATATACAAATATATGACTGTAAAAGAATAATTAATGTCACTTGCAACATTTTTTCGATAATATTGCAATTGTTTTTAATGACATCAGCAAATAAATTTTATACTTTTTAAATTTTTGCTTATGATGTGTTATTTTATCCACATGAATTTTATTGATTATTAATTTGTTGCATGTTATTGTTATATTACTTATTGGCACAACAACGGTAAATTGGTATGAAATTTAATTGGTTAAATGTTGGCGCCATCCGATATAACCAGGCTTGTTCGTGCACTAAACTTTAATAACTTTGACAAATATAAACATTTTATTAGCAATGGTGATGTTTTAACATTGGTTTTATCCGTTGTGTGCAATTATTTCTTTGTTTTCAATAAAAAGCTCAACTGTTTGTAGTTAGTTTTTCACATACCCAATGGGCAATATATGTTGTTAGTTATGCCAAGATTGCAAATCCTTATTTGGTTCATAAATAGACCAAAAAAAATTAAATGGGTTGATCTATCAGTTCGCCTCAAATAAAGAATATCGACGGTTCGGTCCGCGGTCTTTGCTGTATCTAAAGAGCCCAAACGTCGCCAGATACTCATTTGTTCAAACAAACGACCGAGGCCGAGATATTAAGAAAATATGATAAAAGGTAGAGGTCGCCATGCGTTGATTTGTGAAAGCTGGACTAAATATAATTACGATTACATTTTATAAATTAATTATTAGGTGTGTGTCAGTTCTGACAGGTGTGAATTGGGAAGGTTAATATCTAAATGACGCAAAAGTAAATGGGATGTAAGAATAATAAAACCAGATCAGAAAAAACCCGCGAATCAACTACATATTACATCATTAAAAAAAGAACGCAAAAACCAGTCATATGCTAAAGATAAATGAGAGATTTCCGTTAGGATATTCTAACTATATTCAGCTAACTAACATAGAACTATTTATAAATATATTTGCTAACTTGTCTTTGAAACCGAAGTGTTGTTTACAATCTAAGTTTTCGTTTAGCGTGGTCTATTTATCGCCTATCATCGTTTACGAGATCTAATAGATGTAATAAATATATAATATATATTTATATAATATATATATGTATGTATGTATGTATGTATGCATACATTTATTTCTTTTCAAGTTTCTATGTTGTCAAACACAAATTAAATTAGACTTGTGTCCTAATTATTTTCAATAAATCTGAGATTTTCAAAATGTCTTCTTCATGGCTTGGTGATTTGGATTTATTTCCTTCAACAAAGAATTCATTCAATATGAAAAAGGCTGAAGCTGGGACTGCTATTTCAACAAAATCTAACCAACAACAAAGTTTGTATTTATTATTTTGAAAATGAACAATATTTTTCTCTTTTTAAAATAATAGCTTGTTCATTAGTTTTTTAAATTAATTTTCAAAATTTTAATTTATATTTGAAAATATCAATTCAGTTTCAAATATAAATTGACAACAAAATTAGTTTCAATCGAGGAACTTAGTGACAGTGAGATAAACTCACACTTACTTTTAGCTGCATAAAGATAAAGTTAGTAATTTAGAAAATTAGAATATTAGATAGATTGTTAAACAGCCCAATTCCATTTTCATCCTTAAAGTTCTAGAATGACAGTTCATCTTTTTCACTGGCTCTATTTCTACCCCATTATATATTATATACAGATATACTACTTCATTTTTCATCTAGTGCACATCATATAAATATAAAAAATTTAAAATACATAGTAAATAAATATGTTTCGTCTAGAATCATTTAAATTTAGCAACTATTTTAAACTTTTTTTTTTAATTAATATTATGTCATGTCATTTTGATTTGATTTAAATTCAGACACTTTTTTCTTTTGTTTCTTTTCTAGTGCCTTACTTTATTCATCATTTATTAATATTTATATTTTTTTATTAATATTTATTAAATAATAATATTAAATATTAATTTATATAATTTTTATTAAATATTTAATTTTACTGTCTTGTAAAATCACAATATTCCTCATCTTTCAGATTCAAGCACAGCTAAGGATCCAAAAGACCAGCTGAATGAAGCCTTAAGAAACCAAGTAATCGAACTAGTGAGAAAGAATTCTGCATTGCAATCGACGAACGAAATGCTGACGAAACAGTTAAAAGTTATTTCAATGAGCAGGTCTAATAGAAACTCTTTAATAATATATATTTATTTTTTAATTAATTTTTTTATAAAATGATTGTATTACTAATATTTATATTATATTTTTCAAATTATTTTCAGTAATAATATCAATAATATTATTAATATTAACATTATAATAATTTGTATTATTATTATTTATTGGTAATCTTGATATTATTATTAATATTGTTTTGATTAAAAAATTGTCAAAGTTAGCATTGTAAATAAAAATTGGCGAAGTTTCAATTTGTTTTGTATTTTACTTTTTCAAACAAACTTCAAAAAATCTATTACAGGTCAGATTTTGAGGTAACATCGGCAGAGGATCTCCTACTTCAAATAGTTTTTTTCAACACATCTGAATCCAGGTTAATCCCTTTGTAACTTTAAAAAAAATTTCATCAGGTTTTGAGGATGGTGCAAAATTTTATAACGAACCTGCAATAACCTGCAATTGTAACATGCCTTGTTTTTCAAGTGATTATGAGAATCTGATAAATCTGATAAATTATTTTCATGTTGTCTGATGAATTATCATTAAAATTACTATTTCCCTCGACTCTTTAATTAATACTTTTGTATTTTCATCTTTAGAAAACTGAGACCATTGTTGGAGGAGTTTATAGTCGAGAAACTTCGGAAGTGGAATTCAAAGGAGATACAGTTTCATCCACTCGGCAACATGGTGCCACATTTCATTTTAAATTTTTTTCTGTTCTCCTGGTGACAAGAATGGAGATTCTCGTTATTATCTTATATACTTGGGGAAAAATAATTAACTGAATTATTTCGTTTTATCAGACTGTTACATATTTGTATCTTTCCCACATGCATCTAAGATTAATTTAAAATATCACTTTTCAGCCAAACTTCAAAGAGCTTCATTTCAGTGATGAAAGTGACAAAGCAACAAAAGGTTTAACTGTTAGTTGACAGAAAATCATAAAATATATAAATTAAAAAATTATATAATATAAATTATAAAATATATAAATTAAATAATTATATATATATATATATATATATAAAATAAAATATGTTACAATACCATTCATTCTTTATGTTAAGCTCTCCAGCTTGTACATCTCAACAAAACAAGCTTAAGCAAAACAAATGCTTGATTTGGACTTAATAGCAAATATAAATTTTTATTTGAAAAACTTTACTTTCTGTTGAATCAACTATTACTCTGTCTATGTTTTGATAGTTAAATAAAAGACTTGCTATATAAAAGATTTCCATAGTATTAATGAGATTCCAGTTTAAATCAAATTTATATTACTCTATTATTTGAAAGCCAATGGCAGAATTAATATATTAAAATCTTAAATTTAATTGATTTTAAAAGTTGTAGTGATAATGTACTATTAAAAATTACAAAATATGAAACCAGTCGGTCGGTCACTAGTTTAGCCAATTCCAAAATAAAATGCTGTTTCTAGGTTGTTGGCAGTTGCCGATACATGAAGGAGTACGTGTTGGATCGAATGGGGTGGCCTCTCACTGACAACAATCCCTCGTTGTCACAAGGATGGGATATTCCCAAGTTTGTTTTAAGATGGATGGATGGTGGAATGGATACGTGAATGAGATGGATACGTGTATGGATAGAGGGTGAAATGGATACATGAACAAGTGGATACGTGTATGTATGGTGAAATGGATAGATGGACGGGTGGATACATGTATGGATGAATGGATTGAAGGATGGATAGAATATGGATGAATGAATGAATGAATTTGAATGAATGAATGATATGGTATAATAAAAAAGATGAATGAATTGATAGGTGGAGTGATTGATGAATAGATAGAACAAAGTATATAGTTGAACAGACGGATGAATAAGTATATAACTAGTTGTCTTCCATTTCATAAATCATGTCGTGATTGCAATACATTCTTAATTAAAGGTATAATGAATGTATAAATTGTTTAGTGATTCGTAACTGCAATATAATATAGACAAGATATATATAAGTATAGACACCATCGCCTAAATTCATCTTCGTCCCAGGTTCACACAGATCTTTGATGCTGTCCACGGTTGCGTGCCTGCTGAAGAAACCATCTCTCTTAAAAGGTTGGATTTTTTTAGTTGCCGTCAGAACTTCATCACTTTTGTAGCAGTGTTAATTTTTATGAAGTTTATAATTAAAAAAGTCATGATAAACATTAATTTTTTTAATTTTTGCTGATTAATTTGTATAATAATTTATTTTCTAGCAAGATATATAATGTTATTTTATGTATCTTAGTCATGGTATAAAGTACGTCGCAAATTTGCATTTTAAAATTAATTAATCAATCAATTGTTGTGTTAATGTGTGTGATGTTATATACAAGATGTGGTGTCATATGATGTGTCCTTACGTGTTGTGTCGTTATGTAATTGTTTAATTAAAGTAAATTAGTTAATTAATTAATTAATTAATTAATTAAATCACACACATATTGACTGCAGTGCCAGGCCAAGGACTTGCTTCAATTGTGGAGGTGATCACTGCATAACAGAATGCAAGCAGGAGATGGACAAGCAGAGGATCATAGCCAACAAAAACAATTACCTCAACAATAAATATCAGAGGTTTGACTTAATCATTTGTAATTTTATTCTCATTACTATGTTACATTATAATGATGATATAACTCTGTGGAAACATGTATGAGGCTTAAATATATTTGTTAATTTGACAATGTGTTATTGCAACAATGCTGCTTAATAAGTAGGTGTTGAACTTGTACATTTTTACATGCATACTCAAATTAGTTGGTGTCTTGAGTTTAGTTTTTGTATATTTGATACTGCTACCTTTATTATTATATCCATTGCACACATGGGCATCTATTTGTGAAGATATTTTGCGGATGGTTTCATTCATATTTGTTAATTTGTCATATTTTCATGACTATTTCTTATTCTGGGTTTTTTCGATGAGTTAAAAATAACTTAACCTTACCACATTATAATAAGGTACCATAAAGATGAGTTATCCACGAAGTTTGTAAATTTCAAGCCAGGAGTTATCAGGTGACACATGTTCCATCCATGTTGATGTTATTGTATCTGTCGACGTTGATGTGATGTGATGTGATGAAATTTGATGTGATGAGATCTGACTGTGATCTATCTAACTTTATGTGGTGTAAAATTGTACATTTTATGGCACTATTGGTGATGATGGTAAGGGATCAATCAACCTGGGTTGTACTTCTTGGTAGAATTCACAGTTGAGATCTTTGAATAGAAAATAACCTGATTTGTAATATTCTATCTCACTTGAAAGCCTTTCACGTGAAAATTGATGAAGAGAAAGTAGTAATGTATAATATTTATATAAAAAATATAAATAATTGGATAATTTAATTTATATAAAAAATAATAATTGGAAAAAATCTTAAAATATGTTATTGCGACGACCCACTGCCAGTGATAATCTGAGGACTGCATTGGGATTGGGACCAAGTGACCTCCCGCCATACATCTACAGGATGAGGAACATTGGCTATCCACCGGGATACTTACAGCAGGCATACATCAATGAGCCTCAGATGACCATGTTTGGTCCTCAAGGAAGAGGTTGGTGATGTGCTGTTATCGTCGTGGTGTGATGATGATGTGATGAATGTGGTGATGATGATGATGTCACTGTGATGAACGTGGTGATGATGACGTTTTTTGTGACGATGATGATTATGAAGTGGCTATGAGAGAATGATGATGATGATGATGATGAGATGATGACTAGGAGTATAATTGTTTTTGAAAGGTAATGACTTCGATTATGATTAGAGCGGTTGGGTGATAATGATAAATTTTTTAATTATTATTATCATTTGCATGTTATAAAATTAATTTATGCTACGTGCTTGACCTTTGACCCGTTAAAAGAAATTGCAGAGGATGGCGAATTGTTGGAGGAAGGTGAAATTGATGCAAATCGTGCTGAACGAGGTACAATAGTATAATAATTTTATATTACGGTATACCTTACGTTATGAAATTATAATTATACGTTCATTAAAAACGATAATGTTACATCGTTACATGTTACAATGTTACAACTTACATGATATTAGGATAGTGTAAAAGTATTGTCAGCTTCGTTCGTACTTTTGCTTGTAAATGGCTGTTGTAGAATTGTTTTCAATCAAATGTTGATACTGAAATAAGGGTAGATCAGAATTATTTTTTTTCTCTAAAAATACTTTAAAATCAAATCAAATAAAATTACGTTATGATTCATAATTTTTTAGGCAGCTATGACGCCAGTCTGCTCATTGACTATCCTGGTTTCAATGTGCAAGTTCCTGACGATGTTGTGGATGTTAGTTTGATGGTGTTTCAGCTGTTGCTGATGATGTCATTGTTTATGTCGATGATGTCACTTTTTTATGTTGATATATATGTCAATTTGATGTCAATTTTGACGGCGCAACGGAGAATGTTGTTTCATGGGATTGATGTAATAGCCAGTAAATGACTTGATGCTCGTTTGCCACACAGGCCCACAGAAGGCTGAACATGCTCCCCATGCAACCACACCATTCGAAAGAATTTATGCTGGAACATCTCAAAATGCACAATCCCCATGAATTGGTTTCTATTTATTTTGTTTAATTTTATTTTGTTCTAAACAGCATCTGGATGTAAGAAAAGGCGTTATACTATAATAGTAATAATAACATTAATAATAAATTTATCATTTGTGTCGACAGTTTCAATATATATGAAAATTGTAGTAAATTTATAAAATCGAAGCCAACATAATTCTTTTAATTTGTGTAAATGAGATCCAATTCATACTAATAAGTGGTAAATTGAAAGATAATTTTTGGTCTGACCAGTTGAATTGATTCCTCGATTTGTTGCAGTTCGGTGGGAAGGTGGTAAAAAGAAAGCGAGATGAGGCAGGTGCTGACGTGGATGGAGCTGGAGGCGGTCGTGCCAGGAAGCACATGAAGATGTCCGACGATGATGGGATTGTTGCCAGGTCCGCTGACATGGAGATTGACGATGATGCAAGTGACAGGAACGACAGTCATCAAAATGATAATCAACATCGTCCCGGCCATCATTACAATCATTATGGTCGTCATCTTCACAGCAGTCATCACCAGCGCACTCCTAGTGACTCATACTTCAACATACCTTCTTACAACTCCATGATCGTCGACCTCACTTCTCCGCCCCCGCCCCCGCCACCCCAACCAGAGCACCCTACCTACTCAACCTCACCACCTCCTCCTCCTCCCCTTCTTGATGATAATGATAGTAACGATTGTATAGTGATACTCGACGATATTGATGATGATACTGGATGTGATGGCGCAAATGCTGGCCCATCATATGAGAAAGAAAGTGAAGGTGGGAATGGCGAAACTGGCGGATGGGATGTAGAGACTTCAACGCACGCCACGAGTAACTTGATGACGTTTTGTTTTTTTTCTCCCATGTGCTTCATTCATACATTCTCTTATGATGATTAGGCTCATATACGATATTACGTTTGATCTTCGTAAGCTCAGATCACACACCTACACACGCACACACACACACACACACACACACACACACACACACACACATACATACATACATACACACACAACCTCATTCCTTCATCACTTCATCATTCATTCTTTCACCACTTCATCATTCATTCCTTCATTCCTTCATCACTTTATAATTCGTTCCGCAGATGCTCCAAAGTTTTACAGATCCATCAGCAGTTACGCGAGCACACCTGTGTTTGATCCGTCAACATCATCATCATCATCGCAACTCCTGACGTCATCATCCACGTCACCAGTCCGCCAATCAACATCAACATCGCCGCCAGCCTCGCCTTCGAATCGAATGTTCTACAACAAGTGTCCTTCCCTGGAGAAATTTTCAAAAGGAATGTATGACGTTGATTGGAGCGCTGATTCACTCGTCTCCACAGGCAAGTACGACAGGATGAAAACTCTTCTTGAAAGTTTAAGGAAGGAAAGGAAAATGTCATAACCATCTGATGCTCCAGTTCTTCACTTTTTCGACCATGGCAGCATTATATCATTTTTTCTACTTGTAATCGAGTAAAATATTGTATCATAGTTTATCCTTTTTTAATCTTTTTGATGAATGAAAATTTTCGAACAAAATATTTGCATGTATATTTGTTTTCAGCATGTTAATAGATTATTTTATATATTTGTCTTCTGAGAAGTTATTGCAGTTGGTAAAGTTTCTCAAAAGTTGAAGGCCCTAAATGACGCTCGACCGATGACGACATTCGATTCGCAGCTGTTTTATTTTTTATTCGTAATGTTTTATTTTGCATGTGTGTGTGCGCGCGCGCGCGCGCGTGTGTTATTCAAATGGTTAAAACTATTATTATTTGATATTCATTATATATAAAGCTGTGAGCAAAATATTAGAATCGGATAAAAATTCCTTCGACTCCTTGATCGTAAATTTTCCGACGCAAAAATTGTTTCATGCCTCGCTTTATAATCATAAACAATGCGCAGCCTTACAGCAAAATAAAAGGCCATTTTAAAAACGTTCAAAATCAGTTTATGCAATTCTTCTCAGTATAATTACTTAAATTTGTGCCTGTGTACATCACTTTTTAAATATGAAAATAGTTGATAGCACTATCGCTAGCATCCATTATAACTAATGTTATAGATGATTGCATCCCCTCAATACGCACATTCATCATCTTTTAAAGAACACGGTATTGAACACTTATTTTTAAAATTTAAATGAAAATTTTTCAAATTCAATCACCTTCCTGAGCTGGAGTCTAATAAAAATTTATCCCACTCTAACTCCGGATCCTCAAAAAATTCCAACTCCTGCAGAAACTTCCGAATAACTGCCGACACCCTGCTGTATAAGCTCCACGAGAGTAAGCCTAGACGTGTTATACAAAACCGCATTGTTATGTAATTACATTAATCAGCGTATATACAAGAATATACTTTTTATTTTTCTAACAAAAAATGATAATAAAATTTTCTATGAATATTGCAAGCGGTAATCGAAATGAGGAAGTGCAAAATTAGAACTCAGGAACATCATTTGTTACTTTCCATGTTGAAGTTTTCATTAATGGCTGTTTTTATATTTATCTATCCTCTCTTTTTTCAATTTCATATCAGCGGCAACTCATGTAAGTAATAATGTTTTATGTCCAGGAAAATGTATTTAACATTTTAGGTGTACTTTACTTTTGCTTCAGATATTTTGCATTTGCCGCGGTTGTATAATGTGTATTCATGTAAATAATGTTTTTTAACCGTAAAAATATCGCCACACCTTTAGCTTATTGAAATTTTCTATTGGATGGCTGGATGCAGTGATGCTTCTCGTATTTACTTGGATGTATGTCATTTGCGAAATGCAATATATCTTTGTGTTTGCTTTAGCGTTAGCTATAGCAAAGCTTGAAATGCATGCACTCCACAGAATAGAGATTGCTCACTTGAGAATTGAGATCTCGAGAGTGTTTTTTAATTAAAACGTCAGCCACTCTCAGTGAAGATTCTTTATCGATTTATTAAAAAAGCAGTCTCCTTTGATTGTAGCACACGTTGTGTCAAATTTATTCTAGATATATATCTCCATTTCTAGTGTAAACAAAACATTGTGCAACTGCTGCTACAATAATTCATGTTTTAGAAATAGCAAAATGTTGGTTGTGTAAAAATAAGCACACGAGTTTAATGCATGGCTGAATCAACAGATTCAAATAATAATGAAAAGAAATTATTGAATAAAAATGCGGCTCATCTATCAAAAGCACGTATCTTATTTGACGTCTGCAAAGTTTTTGATGATGATAAGAAGCGCCAAATTCTTCCTAGACGAACTCTACTGCATGCTACAAAGGTTAACCAGATCATCAAACTGTTTGAGGAGAAAGACGATGATTTAAATAAACTATACAGTTTTCAGAGCAACGACACTGATGAATGTGATGTTAAAGATACCGAGAAAAATTCATTTAAAAACCTTTTGTTACTTGCAAACTCGAGTAGTACAAGTGATTCAAAGAAGCCGGGTCGTGATTTGAACAGAAGATTAACGGTTAAGGATTCATCCTCGTGCATTTCAGAGGATGTCGGTCGATACACACATGCCTCGGCAACTGGCTCTTCGAAGCAGTTTGGTGGGAATTGTGAGAACCGACTCGCGATACTTGAAATCAATCCAGACGATATTCTTAAAAACAACCTCAAACCTAAAGAGTCTTCAGTTAATAATATAAACCATGTGACGGAAGACCTGGAGAGTGAGGATTGTAATAATAATTTAATTAAGGATTACATAGAAGCCGAAGTAACGGAAAAGAAAAACAAGTTTGAAATGATGAAGGAAACGTTAAGTGACGTGGTAAGTGGATCTCTTCAAAACGTTCCACCAATTGATAAAAAAATTGTCCGAATATTCACTAGCTCAACATTTACAGGTATTTTATTTTATTTTATAGAGATAATTGTTCTGATTTCAGTATAAATTAAAAAAATAATTAAAATTATGAGACACCACGTTAGAGCGCAACTGCTTGATAGAAAGTGTCTACCCGAAGTTGAAAGAGTACTGCATGAAAAAATATGGATTGGATTTTCAGGTTACGATGCTTAGGTTTGTTTTGTGTCCTAACGCTTGAACTAGTACAGGTTAAGGGTTTGTCATACTTTTCTAAAATTCAAAGATATATTTGAAACGAAATCCACTCCGATCGGCAACACACAAAATTACATGATTAAGTGGTGAACGACGCATCACACGCAAAGCCTGTGATAGGCGGAAGGCAAGGATCCCTTTGCGTATTCGAACCTGATCACGGCACGCACTACGAAACAAGATCAGGCGCATTATTTTTGTTCCAATCTTTTTCTCTAGGTTGTAAAGTTTAAATTTGAATTTTAGGCTTATACACGCATATAATAATATTTTCAATGGCTGTCTTGTTTCTTTCGTGCTGTTTTGCAGGCTGTCGACATGCGATGGGGAGTGAGAGATGAAGCGACAGATGATCACATGACCACAGAACTCTGCATGAACGAGATTGACAACTGTCAACGTTTATCATTGGGCCCAAATTTTGTGGTGCGTACCATCACAACACATTTATACAGTTAAACATAATTTCGAAGAAATATTTTTGAGAAAAAAAAAGATTTATTTATCACAGGCTAATTTTTGTATAATAAAACTTAATAAAATCACCGTTCAAACAAGGTGTTGTTGGGACAGAAATATGGATATAGACCAATACCAAGTGTTATTTCTGAGACAATTATGTTGATCCTCCAAATATGTCTGGAGTCTTCTCACTCAGCTGACTGGATGTTAATCAGGACCTGGTACAAGCGAGATGAAAATGCAGTCCCTCCAATTTACGTTCTCCAACCAATCAGCTCCATTCTAGTGCATTTCAATAGTAAAGTTAGCCCATAAATTCAGAGTTAATTTTTTATAGATTAATATACATTGAGAGTTTTTTGAAATTGTATAAACACTAATAGGATAAATGCTTATTATATTCATATGTGTATACCGAGGCGAGGAAACAATTGAAATAAGATAGATGCCAACTTATTTTACAAAATTCAAATCCCTCCATAAAAATATACATACATATACCTATACCATTCAGAAATTCTCATTTTAATTTAAGACATCGCAAGATTTGAAGAAATTGGCGCAAGATCAATGGTGGGCGACTTTGAACAACTTGCAAGTCATTCTAAGAAACTGTGCCAGTAAATTATTCTTGGAGAACAGAATTACCAGCAGTCAAATGCACGAATTTTTTATGTCGGGTAAATTAGTTTAAACGTTTTTATTTTATCATAGTTACTACAAATTAATGTAAGCGAGAAGTTCTTAACCGCTGAATGTAGATATCAAGCCACAGCATTCATTGTATCTTTAACGTTTTGGTATGTCGGTGATTTTGAACAGTGCACACTGACATGCAAGCCTAATGGAACTATGATTAAAACTTTATCCGGAACCAAATTACAAGCAACATAAAATGCTTATTTGACTTCATAAAAAACTTCATAAACGTTAACTTGTAGTTACTGAACGAGAAGTTAGGCGGGGAATCGTCAATTGTGTTGAAGCAGAGAAACATTGTCTTGCCTACATTCGAAACATCAGCAACATGTCTCAGGACAACTCGAACAGAAACTTTATCGACAAAGTTGGAAACTCGATAGACCAAGAAGCATGCGCATTACTATCGGAACTAAGGTTGCTGAAATATCATCTCTAACAAATTTTTATAATTTCTAAATAGTATTCTGGTAAATTAAAAAAATAATTTCCTAATTCATTTGACTAATTTTGTTAATTGTTCAACTTTTCTATAATTAATTTCTATATTAGTTTATCAGATTACAAAAAAAGGTTATACGTTTGTAAATATTTATTTTTCAACAAAAGTTACCTTAATGAAAGATTCATTATTCGCTTGAAACTCAAGGCATTTGAATGAAACGCTTGTTATTTTCTAACAGAGACAACATAATACCACAGAACTTAGACGCAAAAAATATCAGTTACTTCAATGTTGAATGGTCGAAGAACTGTGGAATCAATCTAAATAAACATAAACAATACATTGAACATTTCTGCAATACATTTAACAGGTTCCATTCAATGAAATTTTTTTAATAAAATTATTCCATTCATTTTAGTACTCTTTGGCTGATTAATATTTGTATTTTTAAACATTTTTTAAACCAATGATATAATATAGGCTATTAGCATCATAAGCCTACTAATGTAAGCGCTTGCGGAATGTGTTCAATTAACGTTCAATTAACACATTTGCGAGTTTACATTATACGAACGACAAACATACCCTACGATTTCATAAAAAGTTGGCACATTGATAAGGCACGATAAAATGTTTTGGAAGCTTCTAGGTTATTCTACAATTTTGTTTTGTCACACTGAAGAGACGTTTGTAGGTTGGTTGACCATGAAGTTGAAAAACGAACCAACTACGGCAAATTCACCTCGCTGTTCACGCAAATCCAACACCACTTGCACTCCTGTTTGCAGCTGTCGCAAGGTTTTACGGGACGTGAGCAGGTAAATAAAGATTATTAATAAAAATAATATAATAATAATAATATGATTTTTATTGTTATTGTTGTTGTCCCCCTTATAAATTGTATCATATACGTGAATAGTGTTAATATCGTTTTACATTCACTATCACTGTTAATAATAATAATGATAGTAAAATTTCACGAATCATTTGGATCAGATCTTAAACTCCATAGAATCATATCTGAGAGATGGATCAAATGAGCCGTTGGTATTGTATGGAGATAGTGGGTGCGGCAAAACGTCTTTGATGGCAAAAGCTTTTAGTTTGGTAACTGAAAATTAATATTATTTTTATTTGTGCATCTCAAACATTTTTTTTTATTTACAATAGTTGGATGTTTGGTTTGAGAAGAGTGTATCTGATGGAGGTAAAACAAAGTTTTTGAAGATTATTCGATTTCTCGGAACGTCGGTTGATTCGACCGGGGTGGCTCCACTTCTGACGAGTTTAAGCCACCAGATATCCTACTTTTTCACAAACGAACTGGATAGCAATGTGCCTATCGATTTTAATCTGCTCGTTTTACATTTTAAATCTTTATTAAAATTAGCAACAAAAAAGAATCCCATAATTTTGTTTCTTGACTCTCTCGATCAAATGTCTTCGGCCAACGGAGCACATTGTCTAACTTGGTTTCCACTTCACTTACCAGATTACTGCAAACTTGTTGTTTCTGTAGTTACTAGGGAGTTAGGATTGTTGGACAGGCTAAAAAAGTTGTTGAGAAACAAATCTGAGAACTTATTGATCATCTCATCATTGGGAAAAAAGCCTGCGCTAACAGCAATTAAGTGAGATTTTGACACTTTTTTAAATTTGCTTCATTTTATTTATTAAAAATTGAGTTTTTTTGTTGATAGGACTCTTCTGGGACGTTTGAACCGAACGTTAAATGATGAACAATGGAGAATCGTTGAAAGAACGATGGATCGTTGTAGCGATCCACTCTTCATCAAAATTCTCATTGGAGTTGTATCTAAATGGAAATCATACGAAGTCAAGGCTGATCACAACGTTGCTTGTACTATCCACGATGCCATTATGCAACTTTTTGATAAAATTGAAAACAGGCATGGTAAAGTTTTGGTATCTCATGCTATTTCTTACATAACGGCGTCAAAAGAAGGAGTTACTGAAAATGAACTGGAAGACATGCTCTCTCTTGATGAAACCGTTAAGTCTTATAAAACGTTAAGTCTTGGAAAACGTTGTTATGAAAGACTGAAGGTGTGATAATTTTTTTTATAAAAAGGTATTGAATGATGTGTACCAGTACCACCTGCCTCCCGTTCGAAGGATTCCTCCACTGCTCTGGACTCGCATCAGGAACGATTTGATATGTTACATCACTGAGAAGGAAGCAGATGGCGTTAATGTCATTAATTGGTACCACAAACAATTTGACGAAGTTTCAAAGAAAAGGTGTAAATTAAAATTCTTTTTTCCTAGATATAACTTATTTTTAAACTTTGTAGATATTTGAAGAATAAAAAATTTGAAATTGAAACTCATTCCCTCATGGCCGATTATTTTATTGGAACGTGGGGAGGCGTTTCCAAGCCTTTTCAGTACAGTGCTCTCCAGTGCCAAAGATTCAGTTTAAATTCAAAATCTGGTTCTTGCGACAGAAAAGTGTAGAATTTTTATTGCATGTTGATTTAATAACTAATGAAAAAAATGTTTTTAAAAAAGGTTCCAGAACAACCATTGTTCTATGACAGTAAAAACCAAGATGACCATAAAAAAGTAAAACACGGCATTAGATACAACTTAAGAAAATTGAGCGAACTACCTCGTCATCTAATAAAATCAAAAAGATTCAAAGAATTACTTCAAATGGTTTTATTCAATTATAAGTGGCTGCATGCCAAATTATCGTGCATGCCTCTCCAGTCCGTGTTAGACGATTTTGAAGAATCATTGATCGGGGTACCTTCTTGTTCCCAGTCTATTAAAATGATTTTGGATGCTTTGAAATTGTCTGCATCTATTTTAGTTAAGAGATCAGAAATGCTTGGGCCACAACTTACTGGAAGATTGCTGCCTATTTACAACTTAGATATATGGATGGAAACCTTGTTGAAACAATGTGACAGTGAAGGAATAAAAATTAATTGTCTGGTTCCATGTTTTCATTGCTTTCAGACTCCCGGTGGACCGTTGGAGAGTTCACTTGAAGGCCACCAGTTTGCACCATTTGGATTGGCGCTTACGTCCGATAACAAATATTTGGTGACGGCTTCTAATAAGTTCATCGTATGGAATCTTGACAAGGTTGAAATTGTTCGACAATCGAGTATTGGTACTTTAGGAATCGTTATGCAGATGACCGTCACCACAGATGATTCCAAAGCAATTGCATACACCAATAACAGTCAGATATTAATTTACACAATCCTCAGTGGTTGGTTTATACATTAAACAGTTCAATTATAAAATTTTACTTGACTTTGTTGTTTTAGGTGAGACGAAATTAATTGAAAACACAAATTCAACTACTAACGACGAGTTGATCGGAATAACTTGCAACAAAAATCATTTCATGGTTTGGTCGACCTCTAGTTGGACTCTTTACAATTTTGATGGATTAGCTTTAGAACAAGGCAACGTTCCTAATTATTCGACAGAAGGAAACATTGTCACAATCTATCTAGAAGATTCATCGAGAAACTATTTTTTCATGATATGGAAGATTGGTTACCCATTGGGCGTGCGTACTAACATAAATATGAACCTGAGCAAAGTATCTCTGCAAACCAAAAAAGTTCATTCAAATTGTTCTTGTCACAGCGGTTTCATAATGACCAACGACAGAAAGCACCTGTACACATGTACGGCAAGTAACAATATAAATAGGTAACACCTTTCTTCAAATCAATCACATGATTTCAAATTTTCTATATGATAAAAAAGCCAATTCACTTCCAAAATATTTAAAATTGAAACTATCGTTGTGTCGTTTATTTAGCGCCCTACCCATTGCGTGAAGATTTATTTAATATTATAATTTGCAAATTTTTTTAGTCATATAGATTGCACGAAGTGAAATCTTTTGGAGATTTTTGCATACTTTAATATTTTGCCATTTATTTTAACACTAACTTTTTTAATTTTCTTTTTTTGAAACTATACTTAAAAATTTATTAATTGGAATTTAGCCTAAATGCCGTTTGAAAGCAGCACTAACACGACTTATGTGTTATGTGTTATACTTATGATAACTTTTATAAAAATTATTAACAACTTTTAACGAAGGTTAGAACTAAAAAATGACGTTTGGCAAAGTAGTTTGGAATATGTTAACGAAAGTAAGATTTACTCATTGTTTTTATCCTCTGATGAAAACATGCTGGGCGCAGTTCACATGTTTGGATACTCCGTATGGAATTTTAATATTTTAAATGTGTGTCCTTATATTTTAACATTGCCAAAGAACGTCCGTAATTTTCCAAAGTACGTTTCAAGTTATTTACGTTTTTGCCTTTTTGTAATAAGTAATTGATTTGGTTTAATACAGAAAACTTGCAATAAACGACACTGTGATTTTTAGCTGCAAAAATTGTTACTTGATAGCGCCTGTTCGAAATATTTTATACATTTGGAAAATAGAAGACTGTGTCCTGGTGAATATTTTAGACTTGCACTTTGGAAGAATACTCTCCGTTGTAACGATCGAGCAGACTAGCAACCGCTACTCTGACCTTCCAGATAATCGCAAGACTAACAAATTTTTAACATCATCCTTGGATAAATCAATCAAAATATGGAACGTGAACTATATACATGAAAATGTTTACCCAATTTATAGCCATGATAAACCAATTTACAAAGTTTGCTTTTCAATTGACTTACAATCGATTGTTGCCAAAAATTATGTACCTGAACATTTAAATCAATTACAATGAAATCTAGATGAAAGACTTCAAACAGGCTGGAAAGCCACGTATGATGACTGTCACACGAAATTGCATAGGTCTGTGGGACTTGGACAATGGGAAAATTGTTGCAACGATTAAAGGTTAAATTTTAGAAGATTGGTTAATTTTGGATAGTTATTAAATAATATGTATTTATATATATTTATTTTAATTGTTTATTTATTCTCATGTATAAAAAAGGCAACAAAATGTCATCAATAATAACTGACGCCGATATCACAACTGATGGCAAATACATAATAAGCGTGGAATCGGGTTTAGTTATCATATGGGATGGCGACACGTGTAAGATGATCCGGTGTGAAAGTAGTAGCATGTCTATTGATGAACAAGAAGAGGAAATTTTGCAAATTCTCATAAAAGACAACGAACATGTTAGTACGTCTGTTATTCTTGTAAACACACATACCCTAAATACATTGTTAAAAATAATTTCTAGTTTTTGTCAGTTAAAGCATCGAAAACTCGGTCAAACAGAGCCGTTTGTGAAATGAGGAAAATTCCTTCGAAAGAACTAGTTTATGTTATTGATTTCCAATTTACAATTTTCAAGCCTGTTATTGTTACATCTGATAAAAAATATTTAGTGGCCTTGAATGTGAACAACTCTAGCGACACGGATTACAACGATCAACTGACTGTCCACAATATTGAAACAGGCGACAAAATTTGTTCCTGTAAGCCTAAATACAGACGTTTTAAAGATTGCAAAAAAGTAACTATCATATTATAGAAAAATTATCTTTTAAAAAATGATTATTATATTCTATATGATGTGACTATATTTTGAAGAGCCTTAAATAACACCTGGCTTTATTAGAAAAGTTTTCAAAAAAAGCTCTTCGTAAACCTTTCTTTCATTAAGAATTATAAAAATATTTTGAATGAAAGAAACATTTTCACCGACTGCCGAAAATTTTCAAATCTAATTTGCTATGCTTAAATCATTAGTAATATTCATTTAGTAGAAATAATTTTGTAAAAATTTATATTGGAAATTTTTTTCAGATCATTGCCATGCCAAACAAAGGAAGTAGGCTTGGGCTGATTGACGAAGAAAAAGGAAACTTATGGGATTGGCGTAAAAAATCTTTATTAGTTTCTATAAAAAATTGGAGTGGTCAGTGTTCTTCTGATGGGTCAATTGGATTAAGCGACCCGACCAGAGGTGGACTGGATGTCATAAACTTAAAATCTGGATCAATAATTCGTACGCTTGTCCCTAGACCCGCGGAAGGTGTATTTCCGGATAACCAGTCCAATTTTACATGCAACACGTGTCACGCTTATTTTTATCATTCTGGAAAGCAGTCAGTAAGAGTCTTTCGACTATCGGACGGAAGTCAAATTGCCGATTATAAAGTCCACGCTAGCGTCATTTCAGAAATAATCAATGCTCAGGAATCGATGACATTAAACTTAGGAGGGATCGATGGAAGTCTCGTTATTTTGCTAATTGCTGATCCTGAAAATCTGTCCTATATTAAGTTTTTAAACGAAAAAAGAATGTTTGTTTTAAGTCAACACAATAATAAATTGAACTAATTTTAACAATATTATAGTTTTTTATATTGTAAAATAAAACAAATATTTGTGTTATAGCGTTTGTTAAGGTTTTTTAATTGTTGAGCGCAATATCGAAAAATTCATGTTCACTTTGGGACGACGAGGCCTGGCAACTTTGCATATTAATGTAGAATGTCGAGCTCTGTAAAAAGTCGTACTTGGCTGCACTAGCCTTGGAATTTTTGTCAATTCTTTTCGAATGATTTGTAATTTTATCTCGTCAGCATTCACTTTTTCCAACCAAGAAAATGGAACAAATACACCTTTGTCATTCTCTCTTAACGTTACTTTAGCTATTGTAAATGAAGTGCTCTTTGTTAAATCATGATCTGAAAGCGTTTCATCATGAACCTGAGACATCGCCTTAAGTGGTTCTGCATTTTTTTTTGGAACGTTTTTTGTCGCAGAACCTTTATTTGGAAAGATGTAATTATTGGATTTTATGCAATGATTGCTGTAGTTTACAGCGTCATGATTGTTATATTTATTTGAACACTGTATTGATGACACGTATTGTTCATTACCGTCATTCACTTTATTTCTTGGTTTTAAAATATTTTTTTGAGGAACACCTCTGTTGCAAGAGCTTTTAATAGAAGGAGGGTTAATTTTGTGACAATTTGTATTTGCCTTAACATTTTGCTTGTTGTTTGGTTTGTGTACTATCTTTTTAGGAAAACTGAAAACAGATTTATGTTGACCCTTATTTGGAGAAACAGAAGATAATTTGTAACCAATTTTTTTCATTGTTTTGTTTGAAAAAAATCCTTTTTTTGACTTGACCTTAGAAACAAGTTTATTAAGATTGTCATTTTCTTTATCAACTTTCATAATTTCTTGCGAGTTACGACTAAACGGAGTCGTTGATCGGCGATTATAATTATTTTTTACTTCCCGGTTATGCCACGGCTCTGGCATTCCAATTTGTTCAAATTCAAAATTGATTGACTTATTAGAATTCAGCGTAGAAATACTATCTTTGTGAGCTACATCCTCTTCAACAAAATATGGATAGGAAAAAAGACTGGAATTCGACTGACTTGATGACGCCAAAGTGTACATTAGTGATGTGTTATGATTCATGTTGCGATCATGATTGTAGTATAATTTGTTTGAATTTTGATTGAAAACATTGGACGTTTCGACATTATCGTCATCTGGGTCGTAGTAATAAGGCGGCTCTTTTAACGAATAATTAAAGTTCATTTCAGAAATTTTCAAGTTTGAATTATTCAGCATTTTGAAAAGTACTATTACAAAAACTTTAAACTTGAGGCGGCTTATGTATTTTAAACAAAAATTTTCAAAATAATTGTTAATAAGAATCGCAAAGGTTATTTAATTTTTGTTTTAGCAATTATTTCTTCATTATCTGATGTTATGCTGTTACGGATGTTATTATGATTGTGAAAATAAACAATGACGTCAGAGCGGTGGTGTATTATCATAGAAGGTTTGTCGTTTTATATAATCTCCATTTACCGTTGCAAATATTTCAGGCTTCAAAGCTTCCTTATGATAGGTTGAAAAATATAGAAAAGAAAATTGGAATTATAACCGAAAAAATGTTGCAAAAAATAAAACAGAAAATCCACATTTCTCCAATATTAACAATAATCATCACTGCAGACAAAAAAACTGAATGTTAAAAGTTAATAAAAACGCAAACAAGAGTCAAGTTATGTATTCAATTTTTGTCGATATTATTGAACATTTATGTATAACATATTCCAAGCTGGTTGAATATTTCATCTGAAATTTCAGCAACGAGCAGACTATCGCAGTGTCTCGCTTGAGGCGCTTCAATTTCCTTTTTATTTAAACACTTTCCAATCTGCTCTATTTCATAGACAAAGCCGATTGTTTTTGGATAATTTGTTGCCACATGATCATTTGGCATTTTTTTAGTAGATGGTTTTCCACAAATAATGATTGTTTCGCAACACCAAAAGTCCTTTAATATTATCGATCCTTTACTTCCACTGATAACTGCATCATTTTGGTAGTCACAAATGGTACTCAAAGAAATTAAAGCGGTTTGATCATTAGCGTAAACCAATTTTATTTCAACTTTTTCGTCTAAACCATTTTTGTTCAGGTTTCCCGAAGCTGTAACTTCTTTGGGTTTTTCTGAATTGAAAACTATGCAAGCAAGGTGAAGAGCATAGCAACCCAATCCAAGTGTTGTACCTCCCCCCAAGTCTTTCTTAGTTATTTGAACAGATGAATTCCAATCAAATTTTTTACCAAAATTAACTCTTAATTCTGTAATTTTTCCAATAGTTTTATTGACCAATGCTTTATTTAATATGTCATAGGTAGGAAGAAATCTAGACCAAAGACCTTCGACGAGCAATAAATTTTTAGATTTTGCGTAATCTAATAATTGTTTACATTGAAATAGACTTGTCGTCAGAGGTTTTTCACAAAGAATTGGTTTACCATTTTGCAAAGCCTGCAGAGTGCATTGATAGTGGCTTGAGGTAACTGTTCCTATATAAACCACATCAATATCCGCGTTTAAATAAAGATCAACATATCTGTCGTAACAAATTTTGATATCGAACTTGGATGCGAATTTTTTTGCACTGTCTAGAGACCTCGATGCTACCGCCAGTACAATATGGTTGAGACCTGACAGCTGCACTGCAATGCAAAAGTCTTCAGCTATTTTTCCTGTTCCAATCACGCCCCATTTAATGGAAGGTGGAATTATGGAAGGTTGATTTATAGAGTTCATCTAGAACAATTTTGCAACTGGTTTCTAAATGGGAAAATATGCAAAATTTTAAATGACAAAAATTTATAAAAAACTAGAAAATTTATTTTCATATAAGCAATTTGCTAACCTGTGTTACTCAAGACTATCATAAAAATTACATCAATTTTTTTTCAGCAATTTCACTCAGTACTTAATCGATAACAAAGTGGACTGAACTATTTTTTTCATAGAGATTTGTTATTATAAATAGACCTTTTATAACATTTGCTTTGTGTCAAAAATTCCCTATTTTAAAAAAATTGTTACGAGTGTTTTTAAATTTTATGAAATCAGCTATTTTTTTTATTCTTTATAATGCAACTCTGTCAAACTGCAGAGCTGCTTACATGTTATTCTATACTTATAATTAAACTTTCGTGCCACAAAGACTGTACACTATCCACACCACATGACGCACATACGCGTTGCGTATGCACGCGCAAGCATCGCATCATATACAGATATGATGGTTTTTGAGTTTTCGATAGACAGTATTCGAACCATGCCATCGCGTAATAGCAGCGCTAGACATTGCACTTGAAATAAATCAAAGACCATTTAATTTGTAATTACAAGTTTTTGTGTATAATCTATTTATTAATCAGTTGTTTGTTGTCATATTGAAAAAAATATGTTATGCTTTCCTGCTTATTTCACTCGTCAAACTTTAGTCATTATGCTTCAATAACAATTTATAAGTTTAAATTTCTACTGTTGTATTACATACCAATATAAAAAATATCTAACTAATATTCAACCACATCCATGAATGAGAATAATTTATTTAAATATCAATTTTATTGTAACTTCATGACATTTTATCTTTTTGCTATAGATATCTTACTGAAGAAAAACTTTCTATAGTTAAATATTGTAATATTTGTAAAAATATCAAAATAAAAATTACTCACAAGTTATCTTTTTAAGTTTCTATTCGACCCAAATTTACTACACTGACGATACAAAATTTGAATGAAAATAAACAGATAGAGCAATAGTGCGCATGTTGTACAAAGGTCATTGGTAAGTACACGCTTTCATTTTCGTTTTAAAAATAAATTTCTATTATTTACTACAAATTTCAATTTCATGTCATAACTGATTTCTAACCTTTTTCAAGTTTTGCTTTTAAAAACATTTCAAAACAATTTCTGGCAACTATTTGAATACTTCAATATTCCATTTAATATTACATTAATGTATCTCGTGTTTCGGCGTTCCATATCTATTCGTGATAAGTCCATCCTGTCCATGATGTGCTGGAGACCAGAATGAAAAATTAATTAACAATGTCATTCAAATCGAGTCTTCAGTTGACTCAACCATGTTTTAACTAAACTACTGGAAATACAAACTTTTCTCTATTAAGATCATGACGTTTTTTAAAAAACTGACATCGCTCACCAAAAAATTTTAATTCTGTCCTTCATTTTTTCTAAACGTTGAAAACGTTAACATTAAAATTTTGGCAATCTGACGAACGTTATTAAGATATTACTAAATGTTTTGGTTGAGGCAACAATCAAATTTGCAAATTTTGACTGCAGTGGCTTAAATGTAGTTTAACAAATGACACACGAAATGGAGTCACCGAAACCGACATTTTGTTTGTTTGATGTTTCATGAGGCATTTGGATTGAAACATTTATTTGCATTCTTCATATTCAATTTCAGTCGCGCCAGTGTTTTATTGTCATTCAAGCGACACTGAATAATTTTAAAACACATTTCTGCCGGCTCTATAGTTGTGAGCTTAACAGAAAACAAAATTCTAAACAATAAAAACACATTATAAATGCATACAGCAGGACAAAGCATCTGATGAATGAATGAATCAATTAGTTTTTAAAACGCTATTTCCGCGATGTTCAACAGCGCTCCTCAATGAATTTTGCAAACAGATGGGTCTTGAGACCCGCTCTGAACTTCGTAGGTGAGGTAGTCAGAGAAGGCGGTATAGATTTAGGAAGTTTATGTATGGTTAAAAAACATTAATTTTAACATTGATTAAATAAAAATTTAACACACACACACACACACACACACACACACACATATATATATATATATATATATATATATATATATAATGATTGCAAAATTAAATTTTTATATGAAATTTTATTTGGGCAATTAGGCTGACTGATAACCAGTTAAGTCAATTTCGTGGTTTAGGACCATGGATATATATATATATATATATATATATATATATATATATATCTATTTTATATATATATATTTCACTGTTTGCAATAATATTAGTTTCATAAATAACTCGGATACTTATTCTGTTCGTGTTGTATCAAATAAAAGTTTAGCTCGTCTGAACTCCGTTTTATCTAATTTTGACTGGAGTTGTTTAAATCAATTTACCGATTTAAACAAATATACTTCATCATTTATTAATTTTTTTACTGATTTCATAAACAAAACATGTCCCATCCGCAAAATGAGATCTTGTAAAATCAAAAATCCGTGGCTAACAAAGGGTATCCTTAAATCATTCAAAGTTAAATCAAAATTATATAAATTGTATATTAAAAATCCTTTTGAACTTAATTTTAAAATTTATAAAAAATATCGTAATAAATTAGTTATTATTTCTGAAAAAAATTACTATAACGATTTATTTGAAAAAAATAAAAACAATACAAAAGTAATTTGGCAATATATTAATAAATTAATTAGATCCCGACCTAATAATCCTATCAGTGAAATAAATGTAGATGGTTTGATAATAGATAATCCGAAGAATATATGTGAAGCATTCAATAATTATTTTACCACTATTATTAAACACAATGATGGTTCTCAAAGTAATATTTTTTTGAACAATATTTCCTCAAATTTTACCGTAAACTCTTTTTATTTGGATTTAGTTGATAATGATGAAATTCTCGGACATGTCAATGATTTGAAGTGTTCTCATTCATCAAACCATGATGGTATTTCTTCTTTTTTTTATCAAAAAAACAATATATAACATTATTGATCCACTTAGTCATATTATTAATCAATCATTTGCCACCGGTATGTTTCCTGATCTTTTTAAGATTGCTAAAGTTATTCCCTTGCATAAAAATGGTCCCACTAATCTGCTGTCCAATTATCAGCCAATTTCAATTCTACCATCTTTGTCAAAAATCTTAGAAAAAATCATGTCAAATCGTTTAAATAATTATTTGAAACATATCAAATTTTTCAATAATTCTCAATATGGATTTAGAAAAGGTAGATCTACTGAGCTGGCGTTGTTAGATCTTGTTGAGAGAATTCTTAGTAAAATGGAAGATAAGTCGATAACTATTGGGTTATTTTTAGATCTATCTAAAGCGTTTGATTCTATCAATCATGCGTTATTGTTGAGGAAATTATATTCTCTTGGTATTCGTGGAGTACAACACAGATGGTTTGAAAGTTATCTATCAAATCGTAAACAATATGTAGCTTTGGGTAATCATCGGTAATCGAATGTTTTGATTAAATTTGGTGTCCCGCAAGGCTCAGTTTTGGGGTCTTTGTTATTTTTAATTTTTATAAATGATTTATCCACTGTCAGTAAATCACTTGAAAGTATATTGTTTGCTGATGATACAACTATTTTATGTTCTGGGAAAGACATTAATACTGTGGTCAATACATTTTACACTGAAATGGAAAAAATATGCAGTTGGTTTAAATCAAATAACTTAAATATAAATTATAAAAAAACAAACTATATGATTTTTGGTTCTAAGATTGTTACTAATAATTTAGGGATTTCTATTAAAATTGATAATAACAGTATTGAAAGAGTGTATACAAATAAATTTTTAGGTTTTGTAATTACAGACAATTTGTCATGGTTAAATCATATAATGCACATATCAAGTAAAATTTCTAAAATTACTGTATCATTCATAAACTGAGGTTCAAGCTTAGTTTTGATGTCACTAAAAAATTATATTACAGTTTAAGTTATCCGTATTTAACATATGGCGTAATGTTATGGGGTAATAGTTGCACGACTCATCGTAATTCTTTGAGATTGGCCTATAATAGTTTTGTTAGATGTCTTTTTTTCTTGAAAAAGTATGACCATGTCTCAAGTTTTTACCAAATTTTAGTTTCATTTCATTATCATTTTGTTTTACGAACGTTTAATTTATGTGCAGTGTGCTATGCTTTTGTGTCAAACAGTTGAACGAACAAATTATGTTATCGTATATAAGCTTGATAATTTTTTAAATTGTTTCTGTTTTTTTTTTTTGTGGCCTATAAAGCTTAATAAGCTTGTATGGTCTCCTAGCCATTTTTTTGTGGTTAATAAAATTTGTTAAATGAAAATAAATAAATAAATTTTAGGACGTGTCATCAAGAATTTAAAGTCATAGGAATTTAAATATAGAACTTGATTTTGAGCATTGACCAGGAAGTTTTTGTACAGTTATAATATTTTTAAGCTGTCGTAGTTGACCAGTCATCATTACATATATATTTCTATGATATTCCGGGTGATTGATAAACTTAACTATTCGGGCTTTATAAACTTAACGTTTTTCCCAACCATCCAAACAATTTTTATTTATTTGGAGTTGTTGAACAAAAGCTCACTTCATTTTTTCCATTTATTTCATTTCACTGCATATATATCGTTATGTTAATCAGTATTATTCAAAAGTATGCGCTAAAGCGAAGCTTGTTTTTTTTTTAAGGCCATCGTTTGGTGTCATGGCTGCTTTTATTTTACTATTCTTTGGAATAGTATTTAACACTTCCGTGCTTAATAAATGAGTGAATTATTCTTTTAAATTGCTTTGCGAACATTTTGAGCTTTTAAGTAACGTTTTGAGATGATGGAAAATAAACTAATTTCATCAAAGATTTTTACCGTCACACTTTTAGATCCAAAAGATGAGTTGGACGAAGTAATGAGCGATAATAACGTTCTTTTTAAGTTTTGTTTGTTTATATTTTGATTTCGGCTTGCAATTTAT